AACAAAGAAACTCAAAAAAAGGTTTAGACAACTACCCTGCATTTTAGGCAAGACTCCAAGGGGAGTAATGGAAATGGGAAACTAAAGAAAAATAAAAAAGATTACTAAACTAAAAAGTATAGCATTAAAAAAACTTACCTGATGTACGAACGGCATATGTGCCGAAGAATTTTCTCGAAATTTCGCGACGAAAAACTTATGTACTCAATCGGGCAGAGTTTCACCTTTTTAAATACGTTGTCACGGCTCGAAGCCTCAACACCAACTGACGATTTCTGGCCGTGCAGTGCCACTGGAAGCCATCCATCCCCTCTCCGCCCACTCCCCTCCTAACACCACCACGCCACACAGAGGGGGAATTTCAAACCGTTTTCTTTCTTTTTTATTCATAACAAAACAACTTTTTATCCTAAAATTTACAATAAAAAACATTAAAACTGATTTAAATTTTTTTTAATAATTTTTCATTTATTAAAGAATTGGTATACTAATCCAAGGGGTGAAAATTTATGAAATTTATTTTCTTATAAAACATACTTCGTATCCGGTTCAATAGATGGCGCTTGCGTACGGAAATTGAATTCTGAAATGCAATAGCGCAAATTACGAACTGAATTTTTTATTTGCTGTTTATGATTTATTAAAAAAAATTAATGATATAAATTATTTACATGTGAACAAAAATAAAGGAATCCAAACGAAATATTAGTCAAATTTATTCAAAATAATAATCAAATCATTACTTTTTGACTTTTTGCTATAATTTAATTAATTAAAATTCTTATTTAATGATATTACAAAATGTCTTGACAGGAAACGAGGTTGGCAGGATTCATTATAATTGGTTGTTATTCTAGAACATTCCAGAAATGATTTGTCGTGAATTTGACTTGTCATTTAAAATTTGTTAGTCAAATATTTAAACAATAATTCGAAGTTTGTAAGACAAACATGTTCTTTTTTTAGATGACTAATAAATTACTAATAAACTTTTTTATAGATTTATTTTTCTATTCTTTGTAGCTCTACGTGGGCGCTACGCGATGTAGTTTTCGTAGCACGTCTACAATCTGCTACGATACATTTGCTACGTAAAGATCGTAGTAATAAGGGCTACAGATACGATGTGTTTGTGATGTATTCAAAGGTTATTTTTTTAAATACAGTCATTATAAAATAAAAACTGAAGTTTCCTTTTACTCTGATAACTCAGCTGTGAAACATTTTTATTAAATAACCTTCATCAAAAACTAAAAAAAAGCACCTACAACAATATGTACTAAGAAATTTTACAGATAAAATAAAAGTCATTTTTGTGAATATATTATTCGTTTAATATTAAAATAACGTATAAGTTTACATTAGCATACTTATTTATACACTTAAAAATATCAAAATCTAACTTACGTATATTCTGGGAAACCTATCAGCCTTACAAATAATCGCGGTATGAAGTTAATCTGAATATAAGCAAATATTAGTACAAATTATATATTATACTAGCTTTCGTCCACGACTCCGTCCGCGTGGAATTAAAAAAAAAACAAAAGTGAGTAGCCTATGTGTTCTTCCAGACTATCCTCTACACGTATACGAAATTTCATCGAAATCCATTCAGCCGTTAAGACTGCAAACTCTAACAAACATCCATCCATCCATCCATCCATCTAAACTTTCGCATTGATAATATTAGTACGAAGTATGATTACTCAGTTTTATTATTTGTAAGGCTGTATATGTTTCACTATTTGACATACATGATATCAAGCTACATATTTATACACATAGACAAATTTTCTTCTTGCAAATAACTAATTAGGTAGCAGTAAGTTTTGCAAACGATAGGATAACATAAAAATAGTCATATACCACTGACCTGCCTTTTTTTGTACATACATTGTGTGTAGAAGTACTCCAGAAGTAACAGTACAGTAAGGAACGAGTAATTAAAAAAGCTATTTCATAAGGCCCAGGCCTTTACACCCTTTTTATTCCCACCCTTTTTCTTGTCAGAAAAGGATGGGAAGGGAACATGGGTTTGACAGCGCAGAAGCCGCATAGGAAGGGGAAATATCCTCTTTATGTGCGTCTAAATTAAATCAACATCTACAAACTCTTGGTCCGTACTCTGTTTTGCACGGTTTATTTCTTTTTTCTTCTTTTTTGTTGCGTAATCCTTGTGCTACATTAATGAGTTCCTTTAATAAGTAACAGAAGAAAGAGTTTTTTTACACTTTTTTTCCCATAATTTCAAGTATAGAGATGTGACCCATGCCCCCCCCCTGAACCCCTGATTCCTCAAATCCTTTGGGAACGAACCCACTGATATATCATGATTATCGACTTAATGCCGCAAATGAAACTGCCTGCTATTGGTTATTGCGTCCGTACGTTCACTTTAGCAAAGCAACACCGGCAGTTTGTCCGAGTGTACGT